GTTTTAATTAATTGTTTTGTTTATAAAATATAAGGTCTAAACCTTTTGTTTTTTCTTATTACCTTGGAGTTGTTTCCACGACATCGTTGCACTTTTTACACATCTTGTTGCCGTCATTCTTGTTAACAGAGGAGGTGCATTTTTTTGCACGATTCATACCATAGTGATGTTTTGTTCATTACTTTGGCAACAAATCCTCTTAAGCAGTAGTACTTTCCCTGTAATTGGAACATTTTTTTATGGATAGACTATGTTAGTTATAATTATGATATTTGTTAAATTTACCTCAATTATGTATGCACGATTGTAGTAAATCTGTTGCAAGGTGATACTATCCAAGTCCTTCATTCTTTGTGCCATTGACATTTCAATTATATTCACATGCGCACCATGTGTTTGTAACCTAAAAAAAATACAAAAATTAGGTGCTATATTTTTTTTAAGTAAAGCGTGATATTTTTTATATCGTGTCAAGAATTTAGAGGATACCATATACGCATATGGTTGTATTCCTCACAGGTCGTGTTGATCTGAAGAAGAGATGATGCACTGGTTTGCATTTGCAAATGTCCGGAACCGTACTAAAATTTGGAGCTCACTAAAATTCGATCTCAGGAAGCGTACTAAAAATTCGTTTCGGTTCGATTCAGTTTGAAATTTTTTATTTTTCGGTTCGGTTCGATTTGGTATTCGAGATGGTTCGGTTCTGTTTAATTCGGTTCAGCTATTCGAAGATTTCTAATTGTTTTATAAACATTTTTTGAATGACTACTATCTTGGATCATCTATCTTATCAAACTACATGTGGATCCAACGGTTAAAATACCTGACGGGATGGTACCGTAACGGGACCGTAGCATTTCTCATATTAATTAAGTGGTGAATTTTATGTTGTAGTATTTTTTAGATTGTGTATGAAAACGCAATAAAATTGTAACTATTAAAATTGATGTTATATTGGTACATTGATGTTAAAAAAATGAGTGTAAGTACATTCATATATTTGAGGGCATTTTTGTGTAGATTGATTAATGGGTACTGTGGTTATATTTTATTTTTTTTGCAATGTTTGTAGGTGATTGCTGTTTGGTAGGGGGAAAATTTTCCTTCAGAATACTCTTTTGTGAAGGCAGAAAACATTATGTGATTTAAGGGTTATCAATGGAGGAAACAATTATCTTAAAACAATTAATGTTGCTTTGTTTAGAATTTGTTTGCGTTTTAAAAGATGTTGTAACTGCAATATTGCTTCCAGTAGGGAACAGCCTTGCAACATCAGCAGCAAATGATGTAATCTCCTTTGAATTTGCCATTAAGTATGTGAATCCACATTGCACAACGTTTGTATATATTGTAAATAAGCTCCTATGACGGTTGAAAAAATAAATAATATATGTATAATGTTAGGCGTTTTTTAAGAAAGGTAATACGTTCAACATGATTGAACTTGTAGCACTAACTCATAACCAATAGAACAATGGAACATGATGCCATAGGTTCACCAGTTGAAACCTTAAATGTGGTGCAAGAAATAGACCCCCATCATGTCTCATTCTTGATACCAAAGTTTTTCCGAGGTTTTGAATTGAGGCAGAATATTTGAATGCTCTGTAGTTACATAGCATCTTAACTCCTGGATAGACTCAGGAAGTCCATTGTTGTCGAGCCGATAATCAGTATGAGCGAAATATATCACTTTATGCTGCTTTAAAAGTGGAAGCACCTCTGCTTTATAGTAACCAACCTGAATGAAGGAAAGTATGTGTTCACGCTGGCAGGAATATGAATGAGTGTACTGATGTAAATTCTAAAAATGCACCATTTTCAAGTCCAGAGGAATCTTGATCGAATCGGAGGAAAAATAGTGCCATGATGCCAAAAGCATAATATTTGAAAAAGAACATAAAATCTCACAATTTACAAGGATAGTTGAGTAATTATCGAGCTGGATTTCTAGGACCACGAAAAAAATTTAGTTAGCTAAAAAGACAGTCTTATTGAACATGAGGAGATATTTAGCTGTTTGGGTTCCTGTTGGTATTGTAATTAGGAAATGCACACATTAGTTCATTTGTTTGTTTAAAAAAATTTTATTGGAATATCTTTTTTAGATTATAGTGAACATGCCTCATCTGCTGTTATCTATAGTAGGATCTACAGAAAACATCAACACACAAGATCAATGCAAATACCAATACACCATAAAAATCTTTTCGCCTCAAATATGCAGGGTTTTGCTAAGACTTCATATTTTCTCTAGTTCTTGAAAATTCCATGAAAGTCATCAATGGCTAGCTAATGAATGTTCCATGCATGTCATCAATGGTGTGCTATACACCCTTCACCAAACCTTTCCATTTCACAACAATACTTTGTCCAATATCTTCAACATATAGAATTATAACGTAAATTGGATCATTTGATGACCTAAGTTGAAGATTACCTCTCATCAGCCCAATATTAGCAACAAGGACCATATCACATATCTGCACTTTAAGATTACATGTTCACGAGATTGAGCTTTATAGGAAATTTTCATATGAATCATAATTAACTAACTCAACAAGAGAGCAAATCATCGAAATCAATGACAACCAGACCTCAAATCTCATTTGGTTTAAGCCACCATTTGCATTTGCCAGAAGGTAACCATTCGTTTGAAAGTCCAACTTTGACCAAACAATTAATAGCAAAATAATGAGAGAAAGGACATGAAAGGACATAACAAAATTCAATAATCGTGGACAAATCTCTCACTTCTTTGACTTCTCAGTCGATCAAGGCACTGAGTTGGACCATATTTCTGGACATTGCAAAAAGGAAAAAGAAGAATTCACAAATGGTATCAGAGTAACCATTACATTGTTCGAAATAATGAAATTAAAAAATCTAGCATAAAAAACGAATTAGGAAAAGTAAATTCAAATAAACATGAAGTGAGAAGAAGAAAACGAATTCGGAAAATGGACAACTGAGATTTTATCGATTCTAAAGAACTAAAACAGAGATGCTACATATCAATCACAATGAATGAAATATATTATTCTTGTTCAAAACCAAACACTTTGAGATTTAAGAATTCGACGACAATCCGATAACCAAGATGTATAAAATAATGGACAGAACAATAACATCAAATAGAAATGCTCATAACCAAGCGTGTATGTTCTTATTAAACAGATGAAGAACAACAAGAAATAATTTATAGCACTTCTTAATGAAATATTTTATTATATTTGAAGAACAATAACATCAAATAGAAATGCTCATAACCAAGCAACCATATCTACAAAGAGAGAAGATAGAACATGAAATGAAACCTTTTTTCTTCTTGTGACAGCAATGAAGCAAAACTTACACAGAATCCAAATTGCTAGCTGCAGACATTAGAACGACCAAAACCCAAATTAACAACACGGCATAATCATCACAACCCAAAAACTATAAATAATCATACTGACTAAGAGCTCCATAAGCTGCCATGGATCCCCTTAATCTGGTGAAATGAAATCCAATCAACTTTAGATATGGAAAACTGTATGATTAGAACTGAAGGCAAAAAGATTTTTCTCAAAGGCTACTTATTATTTGCTGCGGTGAAGAAGCAAATGAAGACTCTAGGTGTGTGTGAATTTGGGAATTATTAGACTCTAGGCAAAAACCGTGCAAGCATTATTGTAAAACAGTATATTGACCCACAATATTTTGCTACTTTCAACTTTGCAGTTTGCATCTCTACCGACAATGACCAAATCTATCACAAAAACTTATATCAAAATCTCCAAAGCATTCAAGCATTACAAATCCCAACATTCAAGAATTAAAAGAGGAAAATCGATAATCAAGACTCCAACATTGATCACATCACAAATCCATAAGAAAAATAATGGTAACAGTTTGGGGATTGTAGTGAGGTCTCATTCACTTGATCGTTGTCTTTTTCACCACTCACAGGAAATAAAAGTCGATCGATTTCGTGGTCCGCCTGAATGTCGCGTTGTGAAGGATTTGTCGGCGACTCATAGGCAGTGGCTTGGTTAAGGGAACCCACCGGAGCCAAAGATTATTTTTTTCGCGCTGTCCCGGACTCGGCCAGTTAGATTCAGGCAGATTCTGAAAGAAAGGGGCACACTAAGAATTAGCCCAAGACCCAATTTGAATTTGATCCATGATTGCGGAATCTTTTGGAGTAGAGATTTACGATTGCGGAATTTTTTGGAGCAGAAATTTCCTGGTGTTTAGAAATTAATTAGGATTAGGGCTGGTGTACTATTAATATTAAATTACTAATATTTAATTACAAAATTAGTTTGACAAAATAAGGGTAATTTAGGCAAAACAATTTTTTACAGATTCATTGGCTCTTTTAATATAGTATAGATATGCTTCCCGGCCAAGGCCACTGCGTGCTCGCCAAGGCCAAGAATGTATGACCAAAATCAATTTCATTTATAGTAATAAATTTGGAGACGGTAAAAATATATCGTAAGTTACGTTTTATTACTCGTGCACGGGTGATGTGAATTTGATTATACTAAATATTTAAATAATATTTATATTTCAATAATACTAAAATACTAAAATATTATCGATTATGAAAAAATTATTTGTACACGGCATTATATTTGTATATTTGTTCTCTCTATTTAGCAATATCTTTATATTTTTTGATTAGTCGTTTTCGAAATAATTAATATAATTGGCTATGGTGAAAATTTAATCACATGCAGGGTTGAGTATGAGACTCAAAGAATTGTGGACCATTGCAAAAATTGAGCCGAAATTGCTCTAAATCAAAAAGTTGTCGTTGACCTTTTAACTTTCTCTAAATTGAACTGAAGAACAGAAAAAATAATTGGTACGATTCTGGAGATTTCACAAATATCTGTACCGAGAGCCGAACTGTACCACACTGTACTGAACCAAATAACCGAAATTAAGAACCGATTTATAATATTAGATGTGTGTTAGTGATATATTTTATGTCAACTTATCTTATATAGATTTTAGAATTTTTAAAATACGAATAAAATATAGTAATAACAGTTCAGCTTCAATTAAATTTCATACTTAATAATAATTGATCTATAATTGAATATTTTCTGATATAAAAAATTTATTTAAAATGGTATAAAATGTTAAAGAATATTTAAAATATTTAAACTTTACTGAGATTTTTCGATATTTTCCTTAGTCTTATTCTATCTTATATTTAAAATGGTATGAAAGGTTAAAGAAATACTTTTTAAGAAAAAAATATATTATGTTTTTTGTATGAATTTCCAATTTTCAATGTTAGTTGCACAGATTTAGATTTTACTAAAATTTAGAGTTACTTTTATTTTAAAATTAAATAGAATCTTTAATAGGACGAAGTATTGATGTATGTTGTTGTTTATTTATTTTTCCTTATAAAGCATATAGAAATTAAATAACTAAAATTTAGAGTTACGTTTTAAGTTTATTTCAAAATAAAATTTTTAATATAATGAAGTATTGATGAATGTTGATTTTTTTAAAGCATATAAAAATTAAATATAACTAGGTGGTCATTAAAGAAAAGTAAAAAATAAAATAGAAATCTCCAGAAATCCGGACCGAACCATTCTGATAGTCTCTAATACCGAACCGAACCAAAAAATAATTATCTTCGAACCAAACCGTCCTATTTTTTGGTGCGCTTTCGAAGATCAAATTTTAGTGATCTTTGAAATTTGGTACGATTCTAGAGATTTTTTAATCTCCGAACAGTACCAACCCATGTTCACCACTATCACTGTACGCTACATATTAAACTGATACATTATAGTGACACACGACTTAATAAGCATGACTCACCATGAATTGTAAATTTATACATTTAAAATATTTGTTTCTTACATATTACTAGTATTATATATGTAACATTTTATTCTGTAAGTTTTCTTTTCATTTTATATTTTAGTTAACGTTTTTATGATTTTAATATTTTTTAAATTTTGTAAAAACATACTCGGCCAAATGCATGCATGTTATTTTAATTTTTTCTCTTGATTCTACAATTGATAAATATTATGATTCAAAGAATTTTAGATCACAACTTTAGTAATATGGTACGTATATGCAATAATTTTTTTTTTTCTTGCTCAAGAAAAGTTTAATTTTATCATTTAAAATTAAATAATGTGTCTAATACTTTTTGATTTCATGCAGGATGAAAAAGTTGTTGGAGAAAATTAGAACGACTTGCTTTTGAAAATGCATTGAAAAAGATACCTTGTTTATAATTATACGTTGAGTAATGCTCTTCTATCTACGGTGGGCAAATGTTAATATGCCGAGTAGACTTTAAATCCCGACTCCGCCCCTCACAACAACATTACTAACGAATAGCGAAATTATAGACAATTCTAAATTTTATACATAATAGCATTGCTCAAGAGTGGAACCGTAAGAATCCTCAAATTTCAAAGCATTATTAAAAAAAAAAAGAAAAAAAGGAAAAAAAAAAAAGAAGCAAAAAACTAAACTATTTTAGCCAAATATTTCGATTAAACCACCCTGCATAGCAGCTGTTGGTCGACTTTGGTCTCAGCTGCACCAAAACAAAGGATAAGATTTTCATAAGCCTAAAATCAAATTACTAAAAATGTGTGATGCATTATATCCGGTTGCAGAACCATTCCGTTTGGATTTGTAACCGTTAATCATCACGTAATCATCGTGGATAATTGATCTAACAATTACAAACCTGGCGGAATGGTTCCGTAACGGGCTGTAGAATCTCATATTACATCATAGATTAAACTAAAAAATTACCTGATTGCTCTGCCCACACTTTTTCTTCCTGCAGTTGGTCGCCCGAGGGGGCAACCGAGCATAGCATCTGATGATATGATTTCAAAAGTTTCACAAAGAATGTGTATTTAATTTGTCACTACAGAAAAACATTAAAAAAAAAAAACAGAGAATACCTAATGATAATAGTAATAAATAAATAAAAAAACCAAAAAATTGGGGAAATTTTGAACTCACTTGCGGCAAATTTGCTTGTTGAGAATGTATTTACGAGCCAATTCTTTAAGAGATTGGAGGTTTTTATAATATTCATAATAGCCCCTGCTGCCACCCCTAAGCCTCAAAACCAAATGCAGAGTAGACTCTGCAATATTAATATTACTCTTAATTAATAGTTTGTCACAATTAAGAAATCTCTAATAGAAATTGGAAATTGTAGGCAAAAAATAAATAAATAAGTAGAAAGATGGAATTAACCTTTCTGAATGTTGCAATCGGAAAGAATCCGACCATCTTCAAGCTGTTTTCCGGCAAAAATCAAACGTTGTTGATCCGACGGGATTCCTAAACATTCCAAAAAACCCCGAATATATATCACAAATTCAGATATTGTTTTGTTAATAAAAAGAATATGCATAAATACAAATTAATTTGTTTAATTACCTTCCTTGTCGTGAATTTTAGCCTTGACGTTGTCGATGGAGTCGCTCGATCCAACCTCGAGTGTTACGGTTTTCCCTGTCAAAGTTTTCAAGAAGATCTGCATTTTTTTTTTTTTTTTCGGGTTTGAAGTGAGCTCTATATAAGTTTCAGTTTAAGTCATATTTTATAAATCTTTTTGAGCTTATATATGAGTTGAAGAGTGTGATACACGGATTTTTGGGTATATACTTGCCCATCAAGAGCGGTAAGAGTACAAGTACTATTACTTGCCCGCCAAGGCCAACAATGTATGACCAAAAAGGATTTCAATTATAGTAATAAATATGAGACAGTCCAAATATACCAAGTTCAATTTTACCAACAAAATATTTCTATTTCAATTTCGCCAGTAGAAATATATTTCAATTTCAGTTTTAGTAGCAGTAAAATGTCACCGAAGTTCAATTTTAGCAACAAAATATTTCTATTTCAATTTCGCCAGTAAAAATATATTTCAATTTCAGTTTTAGTAATAGTAAGATGCCACATTGCCGCGCGCGCCGGCATAATGTTGACGTAGCAAAATTTTAAAATTAAACCCAATGTTCGTCCACACTATTTATATGCGGCAAAATTTTAAAATGGTATAATTTGGCCAAAGTCCGAAAATCCATCCTGTTTTGGGTCTAGTAATTTGTCAATTCAATCAATGTTTGTCCATCTTTATCCACACCTTAGATAAAACCACGACGTGTCGTGACGTGGTACTTAGTCAGATCCATCTACGATTTTTTTGGCATGATGTGGCACCCTCACTGCTAAGTGGAAATAACATAGTATAAATNNAAAAAAAAAAAAAAAAAAAAAAAAAAAAAAAAAATTGGATTATGCCAAAGTTGAATAAGCCAAAAATTAAAACCACAAAAATTAAAATCAAAGCGAAAATTAAAAATAAAATAAAAGAACACCCAGGTCGACCACTTTAGAGATGATAGATCTTGATGATGACGGCGTCTATGACTTGGAAAACGAGAGCGACAGAGGCCTGGGGCTTCATCTGCATCACCATATGTCATTGGGTGGCTGTGTTTCTCCTCGAACAATTTAACATTACTTTTGTAAATAGTTTTCTCTCTCTTATTTTCCCTTGCCAGTTGAGCATGTCATTACTGGGTTGGACAACATTAATCAGAGGTCCATTGACATTTGTTGCAATTGTGTATTGTTTAAGATGACCAGTAAAATCCAGCTTTTCTATTTTTTTTTCCGATTAACACAAGCAAGACGTTGCATGATGAATGCGCGATATTGGATCGAGCTTTTGTTCATCAATATTGATCACTTGTCTATAGATTTATGGTTTGACTGTCCAATATTGTGTTTTTCATACATCCGTATGCATTCAAAACAAAAAACAATGTTGTAATGAGTAATTGTGTCATTATCATTTACAGAGATGCGATCAATTTCGGCCGAACTTTTCAGATTTGAATATGTTCCTCGTGAACTTACAGTGCTCTGTAACTCCACTTACCCAACAAACTTAACACAGTCTAACTAAAATACAAATGGATTTTGCTCGAAAGTATGGAACACTTGCAATAATGTTTCTATTTAAAATTCCCCATTCACCCCCCTTTACGAACCCCGGCAAGCTCCAACTCCTCCACATGATTCGGCAAACTGAAGACGAGTTCTGTGTCACGTTTGCCGGCGCACCCAACTACATGTCACCGTGTTTTGTCCATCTCACCCATCTTTCTTAACAGCACCACCGATAACCCAACCCCTCCTCGTCGTGGTCTGGGTCTGTGCCTAGAGAAAATTGGAAATGGGTTCTACCTCAACATGGTCGGCCATGGCAAAAACCAGGCCTTCTTCTCGAACCAGCAAGGCATGATGTGGCCCGCAACTGTTCTCGACCTGGGCTCGAGAGGGTTTTTGGGGATTGATCAGTTGGACCCTTCACTTGATTTGTCAGATGAGGTCAATTGTGATATTCAGTTTTGTATGATGGGAATGGCACTCCATCCTAAATTTGTCGAAAATGGTTGTTTCTTTGTTTCGTTCAATTGTGGCAAAGCCAAGTGGCCAGGTGTGCGCAATTCCGATGTCAACTGTGATCCCGTGAGGCTCAGGCTCATGTCTGGTAACGGGGCACATCCTTGCCATTATCAAAGTGTTGTAGCTAAGTACAGGGTTAATGGTAGTTCATCAAGGCCCGCCTTGATATAAAGAACTGATAAAGTTCATTATTCTCAAATTTTATTTTTTTATGTTGTTTTACAGAATTAAATGAAATCGTTTGCGTATAATCTAATGTCCTCTTGACAATGCCAGGCTACAAGTGCCAACCCTTTGGAGGTAAGAAGAACATTAACCATGGGACTCCCTTTTATGGCACACCATGGGGGCCAGATTGTTTTTGGGTCAGACAGTTATTTGTACTTCATGATGGGAGACGATAGGGGTGCGAGCGATCGGTATAATTTTTCTCAAAACAAGAAATCTTTGCTTGACAAAATTATGAGATTTGACATCAATAACCTCCCAAGTGAGTTATAGTTACATGGCTCGTACAAAAGGTATGATTATAATTTATTCTTTTTTTTTTCGCAATGATAGAAGATATTATATCAATCAAATGTACAAAATATACAACCGGGAGTCAACTGACCCGAATGAAGGAGAGACACCCATGAAGAGTGCTCTAGCTACAACCTAACAGCCAAAAGACAGCACCTCAAGAAACACATGCTAAGGCTAGCTGCGACCTTGACATCCTTAGCATTGCAACAACAGAGCCAAAATCCAAGAGAAGCTACAGGAAAAGAATAAAAACCAGCTAACCACACACCACTAAACAAAAGATCCTAACCAAAACAGATTGCATCAGTTGGTTGGGTATTTGTAGACCTACTTTTTTAGCATATTTGCCTGAGAAATCAACCCTTATACGTCTTTGTACGTCTAAAGAAATAATACAGATAATTCACGGTCTTTCAGAAGGTTTCCAAATCCCAAATTTAATTAATCAATCAACACGAATCCATCAGGTACGCTTTCGCTATTCGGTTATGATTCTCGATTATTCAATATGAAAGCTCTTGGGATTAACATCGATTTATTTCGAACAAAGTTAATTCTTGGATCTCTCATGGTACGATAACAGATGACCGTGTCTAAAGTACCCTGCATGGATGCTCTTGGTTGACTTTGGTCTCAGCTGCACCAGAACAAAGGATAAGATTTTCATTAGACCTAAAATCAAATTACTAAAAACGTGTGATGCATTATATTATGGGAAATGTTATTGTTCCGTTACGGAACTATTTCGTCGGGATTTGTAACCGTTAGTTAGATCATCATCATGTAACCATTTCATGTAACCATTGTGGATAGTTGATGTAACTGTTACAAATCACGACGGACTTTGGTAACGGGACCATGGAATCTCCCTATATTAATTAGAAAGAAAAAAAAATATTACATCATAGATTAAACTGAAAAATTACCTGATTGCTGTGCCCACACTTTTTCTTCCTGCAGTTGGTCGCCCGAGGGGGCAGCCGAGCATAGCATCTGATGATATGATTTCAAAAATTTTGACATAAATATGTATTTAATTTGTAATTACAGAAAAACATTAAAAAAAACACAAAACAGCTGTGCTGAAGGGTTCAATAAATTGAACTCTCATAATGATAATAGTAATAAAAAAAAAAAAAAAAAATAGGGAAATTTTAAAACTCACTTGCGGCAAATTTGCTTGTTGAAAATGTATTTCCGTGCCAATTCTCTAACAGATCGGAGGTATTTATAATATGCATCATAGTCCATGCCGCCACCTCTAAGCCTCAAAACCAAATGCAGAGTACACTCTGCCAATATTAATCAATTAATTACTCTTAATTAGTTTGTCGTCACAATTAAGAAATCTCTAATAGAAATTGGAATTAACCTTTCTGAATGTTGTAATCGCCAAGAGTCCGACCACCGTCGAGCTGTTTTCCGGCAAAAATCAAACGTTGTTGATCCTCCGGGATTCCTGAACATTACCAAAAACCCGAATATCACAAATTCAGCTATTGTTCTAATTGTTTTTTAGTCATAACATGTTAATAAAAAAAAATATATATAAATACAAATTAATTAGTTACCTTCCTTGTCGTGAATTTTAGCCTTAACGTTGTCGATGGAGTCGCTCGATCCGACCTCGAGTGTTACCGTTTTTCCTGTCAAAGTTTTCACGAAGATCTGCATATTTTTTTTTCCGGTTACGCAATTAACACTACGAGTTTCAGAGAGTAAGTTCATGTGGGGTTTTTATATGAGTTGAAGAAGTTAATGTGATACGGTGGTATTCATATTTACTTGCTCAACAAGAGCACTATATATATATATATATACGTGCCCGTCAAGATGTGCGTGGCCAAAACGAAATTCAATTTTAGTAATAAATTTGGTGAAAAGTAAAAATATTTACATCAATTAATTTCCGGCTATGCTGGCAAGGTAATAATGGACTAAACCTAGTAATAGTTGTAGACATCGAAATTTTAATATTTTATTAATTAATGTCTTTATTTATTTTTGGGACATAAATCCAAGATAAATAAGATATTTAATTAATAAAGTAATTGTTTCTTGCCCACCAAGTCAAATCTTAGGATAAGGAAAGAGATTATATCAAATCTTAGGATAAGGGAAGAGATTATATCAAATCAAGAAGAATCAATCAAATTGATGTCTTCTTTTCCAAGACTCTCCCTCCTACACCTATAAATAGGGCTCTCTCCTAAACACCTCAAACACCTCAAAACACATCTCAAAAATCAAAGTCTCAAATTCAAGCGTTCTCAAGAATCCTCTTGAAGATTTGAAGAAGTTCTTGAAGAACCGTCTGAGGTCCATTCAATGAAGAAGAAGGCCAAGAAGAAGAAAAAGAGGCGGCGACTCTTCCTCAAGAAGTAAAGAGACGACTTCCACTCCTCTCAAGTCAATCCAAGAATATCAACGGCGTTCAAGCGACATTCAAGCCCCGTTCGTTGAGAAGTTCAAGCAACGTAGCGTTTGATTCGGGAAAAAGCTCTCAAGCCCTCGAGTCAACGTTATGCAAGCTCAATCCATATTCGAAGATCCAAACCCAAATCCATGAAGAGAAGAATCAGAGGAGATAAATAGAGATTGTACCCGCAATATCATTTGATCGAAATATATTCAAGTTGTACAAAAGTTTTATGTCTTCCATAAAATTTGTTGTTACAATAGTATATTTGAACTCCTAATTATTAAACTTGGGATTTTAAATTAAATTTAATCTCCCACGAAATTAGTACATAATATAATATGCCTTGTCTACATATAAAATTAAATTTTAATCTCCCACGAAATTAACCCAATGTCCACAAATATTCTTTTCCCCAAGTTGTTTTTGTCCTTTTTGTAAAAAAAAAAAAAAATGAAAGATTAAAGATATTACCAATAATGGGTAAGCTGATTGGTCTTATTCAACTATATTTCCTAATAATGGGTAAGCTGATTGATCTTATTCAACTATATTTCCTTTTTTTTAAAAAAAAAAGGAAATATAGTTGAATAAGACCAATCAGCTTACCATTATTTGTCATATCTTTTATCTTTCACAATTTTTTTTTTTTTCTAAAAAAAAA